CGTCGTTGCCTTGTTCGCTAACGGTGTTAGGTTATGTTTATCACTTGACGCCAAAGCAAAAGACTATTATTCAACACATCTTAGTGGTCAGTATATGATGAAACTTGTGACCCGTTCCGCCAATCGGACATCGGAAACCCTCCTTCATCCTTCCGCCACAGCCTGTAAGTCCATCAACAACAGCGGACAATCACAGCCTATATTACTGCACTGTCCCTCACAGTGACTACTCGTAGACACACGCTCGTTCAAAATGCCCTCTCCTGGTTCCCACAAAATGGAATGCCACATAAACTGGTAAATTTATGAATGTGAACGAAGCCTGCAAAGGAATTTTAGGCCCATCGGCGAGAAGGGATAGAAGCTGTGCGGGTGTCGGCTTCAGTAGCTTTCATCTTAATTCTGTCTTTGAAGAGGAAACTGCCTCCCTGGCAGTGAATCTGAGGTGCATATCTGCGTCTTCAACCTGACCTTTCCCACGGTGACCTCATGATGAGAAACCAACTTCAAAGACACCGTCTGTTGTTCTCAACTGCACTGAACAAAGTTACCTTTCAAAATAATTTTAAGACAAAGTGAACCTCTTTCTTGTCCAGACGTCCCTTGTACCTGCCCTCTACTTAATTGGGGTTTCACCATCTAAGGGTTGCCATAGGGATACATGGCTTTTGCCTACAACTAACTGGGTCTGCTTTTAAATGCTATGCAAACTGCTACTAGACCGAGAATCTGAAAATGTCCCTATATGACAGGGCCGCTGGGAAAGTTGAACTTTTCTCACTTAACATTGCCTTGTTTAATGAAAGACAAATTCAGGACATAATCACGTGCTGCCTTGGTCAGTAGCAAACTGCTTGCAGCAACTTAATGACTGTGGCAATCTGCTGTGATTAGCTGTCCCATGGAATTTGTTTGCTGCCGTCATTTCTAAACGTGCGAATTTCGAATGCGCTTTTTGTGACCTTACACGGCGTACTTCCAGTGTTCTTACGACTGCGTTAGCTCAAAACCAACAGCCAGGGGAGAAAATTCTTCGAAGTATTAAACATGCCGAATGCCCTGCATGTCAGCTCTCTTCCCTCCACCTCTTACATGCGAGGTTAAACAGATGGTTGTTTACTGAAATTATTCTGTTTTTAGGAGTGTCGCCACACCTTCTGAGTCTCTGATTAAAACGCTTAGGAAACAAAGCCCTTCTGTTTCCCTAACAAGCACTAAGGTGGTCGCCGTAATGACAGTTAGTTCATAAGCCTTCTTTCAACACAACGCCGAGGAATCTTTGGGTGCGATCTCTTCGGATGAGTCTAAGGGACAGCTTTATCGGCAAAGTACCTTGTCATGCAACCAGGGGTGAGAGTAATCGGTTAGTTGGAGCTACTCCATTTTAAAACAATCAAATTAATTAGCCACAGTTGACTGCAACGTTTTTTTTCCTTGCTACTCTAAGGTGGTTTTAAACAAATTTCTCCGAATACTTTTTCAAACGTGTACGGAGATTTCCACCAGGGTAATAATGGACACAAACCTTGAACCTATCAACGTTGTCATGCTCAAACATGGTTGCTCAGTTTGTTTTATTCAGGGCCATTAACATAATTAGTGATAAATTGGCAACGATCGGGTGAAGGGCCCCAAACACGCGACCAGCCAATGATGCCTGTCTTACAAGAAAGGCGGCAATAGAGGTTTTACGGGCGGGGCCTATTTATGCATAGACGAATTGCAGAATAAGTATAAGTATATTTTACTTGTCAGTTCCAAACTGATACTTTATCGGGTCATTGCCTTTACGTCGAAGTGTTTGCACTTGTGCAATGATTTACCGTACTAACAACACAGGTAGTAGCTAAAAACCCAGACACGCGTGTTTCGCCGATCTTGTGTCGCTGCCTGATGCAGCTCCGAGGGTTTCGGCTCGTCAGTGGGTCCCCCAGCTCTCCCCATGTGTTTTCTGGTATATGAACTCCAGTTTCAACTTGCCTTGTTTAATTTCCGAGGAAATGAATGTGCGAACTTGGAGTACATCTTTCAGAACAGACCTTCTCAGTCACCGTCCGAAATTTGATATGAC